CAGCTGGGCGGTGGTGGCACACGCTTTTAATCCCAGCACTCGGGAGGCAGAGCCAGGAGGATCTCTGTGAGTTCCAGGCCAGCCTGGTCTACAGAGTGAGTTCCAGGATAGCCAGGGCTACACAGAGAAACCCTGTCTCGAAAAACCAACCAACCAACCAAACCAAAGAGTCTGCCTCGGTGTGTAAGGTGGAGGGCGATTGGGAAGGCATGCAGTGTCAACCTCGGGCCTCCACATACATGTACATACGAATACATGTGTACACAGGCACACGTCACCACATGCACATACACATGCCAAAATTAAAGAAAAAACAAAAACGACGAAATCAGTCCTTTGCTCTCAGCTCCACTCCCCCACCGCCCCTGCAGGCATTACAGGCATCTGGGTGTTTTGTTTGTTAGTTTCCACAAAAGGTTTTAATTTTTAGAATTACATTTGTTTATCTGCGTGTGTGTGTGTGTGTGTGTGTGTGTACCCACGTACACGTGGAGGTCAGAGTGATGTCTGCTCTCTCCTCCCACCACAGGGGCTTTGGGAATTGAACTCACCTTATCAGGCTCGGCAGTCAGCAACTTTCCTCACTGAGCTATCTCCCCGGCCCCGTAGGAAGTCTCATTAGCCCAGGCTGGCATCAAAATCCCCGTGTGGCCAGTGATTATCCTGAACTTCTGATCCTCGATCTCTGCCTTCCACATGGATTCTAGACCTGTGCCACCATATGGAATCTCACACGGTCCTGGGGACTGGACCCAGGGCCTGGTGCATGCTAGGCAGACACACCACCCGTGAGCCCCGTCCTCAGCCCTTTGCTCTTTGAAGCATTATTTTGCCGATCGGATACAATTTTTCATCCATCGGTGTGTCACTGTGGGTGGGGAGGAGGCTAGCTCAGCCACAGCGAGTTTTCCAATCCTTGAGCATATTGTGTTTCTGTTCACTTGATGAGTTCCTGTCAGCGACGTTTTCTAGTTCTCCGTGTACGTGCCTTTCACCTCCTTGGATACATTCCTTCCCATGCACTTTATTCTTTATATGTCATTTTTAATTGAATTTCAGCTTGCTGGTTGCTGGTGTGAGGAACACGGTTAATTCTGGGAGGATGACTGTTGGTCCTACAAATTAAACTCACTTCCTCTAGTAGTGCTGGACTTCTGTCTCTCACTCTGTTGTTGCCCCCGCCCCCCATCTTTGGGACCGTCCGTGGGGCAAACCTTCTGCTGAGAGCCTATGTCTCCTTCCCCTCTGGTGTCGGCGCTTGCTCTGGCTAGAACTCCCGGACAGGTGTCTCTCCCAGTCTCGTTTCTGATCTTAGGGGGGCACATCAGTGTTATTTTAAGGCCCCCTTCTGTTTCTGGTTCTCTAAATGTCTTTTTTTTTTTAGTCAGAAAAAAACAAATTTTGGATTTTATCAAGTTTTTTGTTTTTTTTTTGTTTTGTGTGTGTGTGTGTGTGTGTGTGTGTGTGTGTGTGTGTGTGTGTGTGTCAGTTGAGACTCATTGTTTTGACATTGAGTCACTCTTGGCTCGCTTTTCTTTTTCTTTCTTTTTTTTTTAAAAATGATTTATGTAACTTTAGTTTATGTGCATTGGTGTGAAGATATCAGATCCCCTGGAACTGATAATAGACAGCTGTGAGCTGCTATGTGGGTGCTGGGAATTGAACCCTGGTTCTCTGGAAGAGCAGCCAGGGCTCTTAACCACTGAGCCATCTCTCCAGGCCCCTTGGCTCTCTTTTCTTTAAAAAGAAACTTGATGTCCTTGAAAGAAAATAAAACCCAAGTTTGTGCCTTACCCAGAACTACACCCTTGCCAACAGTTCAGGGATCCAGCTGCCAAGAGGTCATGAGGTTCCTACACGGTTCCCACATTTCCAGGAAAGCTTAAGAACTCTTCCCATTTCCCTAAAGGACGTTTTGTTGAAATCACAAAAGAAGATGCAGTTTAAACTCTACAGGGATCTGCCTGAGCCACGCGTCCGATTGTGGTGTTTGGGACATCACCATGACAGCGCTGGTTCATTTATTTCTTCTTTGCAAGTGCTTGGGATACCCCAAGGCTGAACATGCGCTAGGCTAGCACCCGCCCGTCAGCTACAGCCTCATCAGGCAGATTTGGTTCAAAGATGTGGAGACATGTCCAAGTCAAGATTTTTAAAAAGGTTTATTTATTGGTGTGTGTGCGTGGTGTGTCTATGGAGGGCAGAAGACAACTTTCCTGGGAGTTGTTTCTCTCCATCCACCTGTTTTTTTTTGTTTTTGTGTTAAGTTTTGCTTTGTTTCGAGACAGGTTTTCTCTGTGTAGCCCTGGCTGTCCTGGAACTCGCTCTGTAGACCAGGCTGGCCTCAAACTCACAGAGATCTCTCACCCGCCTCTGCCTCCGGAGTGCTGGGATCAAAGGCATGCATCACCACCGCCCAGCCCACCTGTTGTTTTTTGAGGCAGGGTCTCTCTGATATCTTCCATTGTGCTACCGCACCCGCATGTTTCTGAAAGACTCTCCGGGCTCCTCCCCCTCCCATCTCGATGCATGAGCGCTGGGATTACAGGCATGCCACCATGTCCAGCTTTTCATGTGGGCTCTGGGGATTGAACACAGATCTTCCGGCTTATATAGCAAGCATTTTTACTTGCTGAACCATCTCTCTGGTCCCATATTTTTTAGGATATTTCCTTCAGACAGTAATCATCTGCTCATCAGAGGGCGGGGCTGTGAGAGGAAGAGCTGAGGGTTGGAAATCAGGACATCCGAGTTCAGTCATCCCACACATGCCTGCTCAGCCCGCAGATATACTCTAGACCCCAGGGCCGGCTCTCTGTAGTTTTGTTGAGTGTCCATTCTAGTTGTGAACACCTGGGTCAGATGCCCTTGCCTTAGGTCAGGATGCAGTCCCTCCAGGACATGAGGACAGCAGTGACCATGAGCAGGAGGAAGAAGCTCGCCACAGCAGTAACACCGGGCGGTTTGTAGCCATCCTTGGCTCCTCAGCTGATTGTAGGAACCTCCACAGATACCAACCCTCCATGCAATGGTGTGTTTACCTGATGCCTTCACACAGCCCCCTGCATTCTCCAGTCTCTGGGTTACTTATAACCCCCATACGATGTAAATGTTACATAGAGCCGTTAGGCAGAACTGTGGAGAACAAAGACGCAAAAGTCAGTATGCAATACAGATCCAGTTTCTTACAAATGTTTTCAGGATGGTTGGTTAAATCTGCAGAGGAGTTTGTGGGTGCAGAGAGAGAACAATGTAGCTAAAGTCATTTACATAGCACACGTTATTTACATAGCATACGAGTCATTTACATAGCACACAAGTCATTTACATAGCACACAAGTCATTTACATAGCACACCAGTCATAGCACACCAGTCATTTACATAGCACACAAGTCATTTACATAGCACACAAGTCATTTACATAGCACACAAGTCATTTACATAGCACGGAAGTCACAGATCAGAGAAGTAATTTCAACAGCATTCAAGCCATTTACATAACACACAAGTAATTTACATAGCATAAGAGTCATCTACATAGCCGGGCGGTGGTGGCGCATGCCTTTAATCCCAGCACTCAGGAGGCAGAGGCAGGTGGATCTTTGTGAGTTCGAGGCCAGTCTGGTCTACAAAGCGAGTTCCAGGAAAGGCACAAAGCTACACAGAGAAACCCTGTCTTGAAAAACCAAAAAAAAAAAAAAAAGTCATCTACATAGCATACAAGTAATTACCAGATCACAGTGGTAATTATTTACATAGCACATAAGTCATTTACATAACACATAAGTAATTTACATATCATATGAGTAATTTACATAGCATACAAGTAATTTACATGGCATATAATCCACTCATGAAAAGAACAAATTAGCAAGGCTGGAGAGATGGCTCAGCAGTTAAGAGCACTTGCTGCTCTTGGAAAGAACCCAGATTCGGTTCCCAGCACCCATATGGTGGCTCGCAACTGACCTCCGAGGGCACCAGGTACACATACCGTGTACATACATACATGCAGGCAAAACACTCATCTACATAAAATAAATGCATCCTAAAACAAAAGAAAAAGAACAAGCCAGTGCTGTCAGTGTGTTCAGAATGCATGTCTTCACAGCCAGCATTAGAGCATCTTCCTTCCCCAAACACAGACGATGCACCTTTTCACTGTCATCCCCAACCCTCAGTAGCCACTAATCTTTCTGTCTGTATGGATTGGCCTAGTCTGGACATTTTGAAGAAGCAGAATTATAATCTGTGGTTTTTCATGATTGGTGTAAGGTTTTCAGATTCAGCCATGTTGCAGTGTGGATCACGGACGCTTCATTACTTTTCATGGCCAATTTAATGTTCCATTGTGTAGACGTACCACATTTTGTTTGTTCATCAGTTAAAAGATATTTGACTTGTTTTTGAAACAGGGTCTCAGTATGTATCCCTGGCTGGTCTGGAACTCAACAGAGATCCACCTGCCTCTGCCTCCTGAGTACTGGGATCATTTACACAGCACACGTTATTTACATAGCATACATAGTGTGTATGTAAATGACATAGCCACCATGCTGGGCCTTAAAGAATGTTTGAAGTGATTCCATGTGTTTGATGAAATAAATAATGCTTCTAGAACAAAGTCCTTTATGGCATATTACCTTCTTTAGTTCTTTCTCATGTGTGGCTTATGTTGAGCGTGTGTTGGTGTGTGATCTTAAAATATCTGAGACTCTAATTTATAAAGCACAGATATGCCCTTTTAAAAGATTTGTTTAATTTTTTTTTTAAAGATTTATTTATTATGTCTACAGTGTTCTGTCTGCACATATCCCTGCAAGCCAGAAGAGGGCACCAGATCTCATTACAGATGGTTGTGAGCCACCATGTGGTTGCTGGGAATTGAACTCAGGACCTTTGGAAGAACAAGCAGTGCTCTTAACCTCTGAGCCATCTCTCCAGCCCTTGTTTAATTTTTTTAAAGAAAGATTTGTTTTTTATTTTGTATTTCTTGAGACGATAATTATATCATTCCCCTTCTCTTTCCTCCCTCCAAACCCTTCCATAGACTCCTTCTTGCTGTCTTTCCAATTCATGGCCTTTTTATTATTGTTATTGTTGTTACATGCATACATGTATATGCATATATATCCCTAAATATGTAAGTACAACCTACTCAGACTATCTAATGTTACTTACATGCTTTCAGGGCTGAGCATTTGGTACTGGATAACCAATGGTGTGCTCTTTCCTGGGGAAGACTATTTCTGCTCTCAGCTTTCCTTAGTGGCCTGTAGTTCCTTGCAAAGGGTTGAGGCCTGGTGTCTCCCCCCTGACTGGTTTATTTGTATTCGTACGAATGTCTTGCCTGCAGGTATTATATGCCACGTGTGTGCCTGGTGCCCTCTGTGGTCAGAGGAAGGCATATGATCCCTTGAAACTGGAATTATAGAGAGTCGTGAGCTGCTGCATGGGTGTTGGGAATTGAACCTGGGTCCTCTGCAAGATCAGCCAGTGCTTTTAGTTTCTGCTGAGCCATCTCTCCAGCCCCAAGAATATATCTTTGAGGCCAAGGTTGAAAAGTCCAGGTTTAACGGGAATCTTCTTGTACCTCACCACTGGCAGGGGCAGACGGGAGCACTCCCCACTGCTGTGTTCTTTCTGATCGCCTCCCAGCACTGTTTAATTGGGGATCACACATGAACTTTGGGAGGACACCTTGGAGCCATAGCATATACCCACATCTAGGGGGTTAGCAGCATGCCCTGGGCCACAGAGCATGTTAGGAGCTGAGGTCAGAGGAGTACCTCATCTCTCTGCTTGGTGTTCCTCCAGTACAGGGACCCTAATACTCCTGCCCCACTCACTGCTGTGCGAGAGAAATCCGGTGGTCAGAACTGTAAACTCTCTCTTCTCTTGACAGGTTGTCTGAATGGTCTTGCTGCTCTTTCTAACCTGCCTGGTTTTCTCCTGCCTGACCTTTTCCTGGTTAAAAATCTGGCGGACGATGACAGACTCCAAGCCACTCACCAACAGTAAGGTGGAAGCAAGCCTCCTTTCAAGTGAGGAGTCCTCCCGGGCCTCAGACAGGTCAGAGGAGCCACTGCGGAAACATGGTGACCGCAGCTGTCCTTCGCAGACTCCTGACCGGGAGGAACCGGCCTCCCCCCGAGGTCCCAGAGATGCCAGTTGTCGGAGGAACTCCCTGCCACCCTCACATCAGAAGCCTCCGAGGAACTCACTGTCTTCAAACGACACCTGGCCCTCCCCAGAACTTCAAACCAACGGGACAGCGGCCCAAGGTCCAGAGGTCCCGGATACCAGCAGTCTGTCCTTCCCAGCCAGGCCTCCAGGACAGCGGGCCAAATCCCCCTCCAAAGAGGACAAGAAGCAGGCCCACATCAAGAGACAGCTGATGACCAACTTCATCCTGGGCTCCTTCGACGACAACTCCTCTGATGAGGACCCCAGTGCTGCCTCCTTCAGGGACTCTCCCCGGAAGAGCAGCAGGCCCAGCCTGGGCACCCTGTCCCTGGAGGCTGCACCAAACTCCAGCGACCCTGAGTCCCGCGCACCCACTATGAGGTAACGGACCTTCTCTTCACACTGGGAGTTGGGAGAGAACGTAGGGTGACATTTGCATCCTTGACGTGCAGTGGGATTGGCATCCTTCCCTAGCTCCTCCCTCTGTCTACCAACACCCAAGGGTCACTATGTGGAAGAGCAGAAGGAAAGGCCTGACTTCTTTGCTTCCTGTTCCCTCCTTTCAGAATCACTAATTGTGCTCCTGCTGTGTGCACCTGCTCTGTGTTATGCACCTGCTCTGTGCACCTGCTGCAGGCATCTGCTCTGTGCTGTGCACCTGCTGTGTACACCTGCTCTGCTCTGTGCACCTGCTCTGTGCACCTGCTGCAGGCATCTGCTCTGTGCTGTGCACCTGCTGTGTACACCTGCTCTGCTCTGTGCACCTGCTCTGTGCACCTGCTGCAGGCATCTGCTCTGTGCTGTGCACCTGCTGTGTACACCTGCTCTGCTCTGTGCACCTGCTCTGTGCACCTGCTGCAGGCATCTGCTCTGTGCTGTGCACCTGCTGTGTACACCTGCTCTGCTCTGTGCACCTGCTCTGTGCACCTGCTGCAGGCATCTGCTCTGTGCACAGGGCCCCAGGCCAGCAAAGTGGCTATCTGGAGCTCTCAGTCCAGCTGGGGAAGATGATCCTGTAGGTGACTAGTTACCAGCTAAAGAACCCCAGGTGAAGCTGGGTGGTGACACACACCTTTAATCCAGCACTCGGGAGGTAGAGGCAGCAGGGTGGATCTCTATGAGTTCAAGGCCAGCCTGGTCTACAAAGTGAGTTCCAGGACAGCCGAAGCTATACAGAGAAACCCTGTCTTGAAAAACAAAAAGAAGTCCATTGGTTCCGAGAAGTCCAAGAGCAGGAGCAGGCCCTGCCACCTACCCGGTGAGGGCCTTGCCTAGCACTGGGAGACAGGCCAGCTCAGGTCACACTTCCTCTTCTTTAAAGCCATTAATGCCATCATGGTGTGGGGGTCAGTCACATCCTCATGACCTCATCTGATCCTAACTCCCTAAGGTCCAGATATGAGTTCAGCAAATGAATCTGGAGCTTAAGTCCCCATCGTGAGAACTTTTGAGGGCCGGGGGATATACTCACACTGCAGCAGCTACTAGCTAGTCTCCCAAAATCTTGGGATACCCAGTTTCTGTAGAAGGAAACCCAGACTAGAGGTTTAGCTGATTATCTCGGCTTCTTTTTTTCCCCATTTCAAACCCAGCTAGCGAAGGCCTGGGTGTCTGCCCAGGGCTCTGCCCTTCTGTGAGAACCGTGGCAGAAATGACGTGTCTGTGGCCTTTTGTGGTTTCTGAACAAGCCCTTTGGCTCCAGCTCTGCTGCAGGCAGCCACTTCCCGGAAGGACTTCTTCCTGCCAGGCCGCAGTGGCAGGCGGAAGCCCCTCCTCTTCCTACTGCGTCCTCACCTTCCCAGAACCCTCCTCCTTTGGCTCCTTGCTCCTTCCACACTAAAGGCTCCTTTGTTCCCGCCAGGGCCGGCTGTCCCACAGTGGGGATTTGCACTCCTCTCTTCTTCTTTTGTTTTTTTGAGACAGGGATTCTCTCTGTAGCTCTGGCTGACCAGGAACTTGCTCTGCAGGCCTTGAACTCAGAGATCCACCTGCCTCTGCCTCCTGAGTTCTGGGATTACAGGCCTGTAAGGACCATGCCCAGCTTGGGACTTGCACTTTATATGGCAGACATGGGCTTTGAATTCTCTATCTTAGAATTCTCGGCGATATCCAGGAGGGACTGGCCTCCTCCTTTTCATCTTGTGATGAGTCCTGCTATCCGGCGCGCTCTGTCCCTGACCCACCTTTAAAGTCTCCAGCTCCTGGATTCTTTTCTGTCCTCTCTGTTTTGTTGCTTGCACAGCCTTAGTCATGCCTTTTATGTCTTCATCTGGTTTCTTGTGTGTCGCCTCTCTCCTGTGCTGGAAAGCAAGTCCCTGAGTACAGAGCCGGTCCTTCTTCACCGCCTCACCCGGCACTGGCTGAGAGTAGCCTTTGAGTATTTGCCAAATGCATGGACAAGATAAATCTGCATTCTGGGCCGGACGGTGGTGGTGCACACCTTTAATCCCAGTACTCAGGAGGCAGAGGCAGGCGAATCTCTGTGAGTTTGAGACCAGCCTGGTCTGTAGAGTGAGATCTAGGATATCCAGAACTACACAGAGAGACCCTGTCTCAAAACAAAACAAAAAAATCTGCGTTCTGGAGGCATGCAAAATACTTGGACAAATGTGGAAATCTATGAATGGATGGATGGATGGTTGGTGGATTGATGGATAGTTGGACAGATGAATGAATTGGATGGATGAGTAGATGGGTAGCTGGCTGGATGAATGGGTGGTTAGATGGATAGATGGATGGAAGATAGATTAGATATGTAGGTTAACAGCTGAATAGATGGATGGGTGGTGACTAGATAGATGAATGGGTGGATGGATGGATGGATGGATAGATGGATAGAGGGATGGATGAATAGGTTGATGGATATTGATGCTCTTTGTCCCTTTCCTGGACTTGGTCCTTGAGGGCTGAAATTCTCACATAACTCATAGAAACAGAGCCAGTAAGCACATCATGCTGTATGCCAAAACAGTTGCTCACAGTCTCTGAAAGGCAGGTCACAAACCCCGGATGCAGTGCGGCCCATCCTGTTGACTATGCACTTACAAACTTGGTGCACAGAGGGCCTGGGGTAAGAGACCGGGGTTCAAACCTGCCTCTGTTCTCCTAACAGGGACACACTGGTGTCGACTGCACGTGGTGGGGGTGGAGGGAGTGGGACAGGATGGGGTTCAGGGTCATGACATTGCAGTGCTGAGTATGAAGTTATGAAGGGAACTTTCTCATCAGTGGTGAATTGTGTATTACCTGCAGGCCTGCCCTTCCTGTTGCTGAAATATCAGTGTGATAACGTGGTGGGCACAACTTAGCCTTTCTAAAAAACACATTCCAAATCCCAAAGCACACTGGGCCCTGAGTTTCAAAGACAGGACTGTGTGCCGTGTGTCACGTGCTAGAACATGTCCTCAGCATAGGGCAGGCACAGCAAATGTTTGGATTTTATGCTGTACTTTGTGTGTGTGTGTGTGTGTGTGTGTGTGTTATATGTGTGATTGTGTGTGTAGTGTGTATGTTTTAGTGTGTGTGGTATGTATGTTAGTGTGTGTTGTGTAAGTGTGTGGTCAGGTGTGTAGTGTGTGTGTGTGGTTGTATGTGTAGTGTGCATGTATGGTTGTGTTGTATGTGCAATATGTGTGTGGTTGTGTGTGTGTGTGTGTGTGTGTGTGTGTGTGTGTGTGTGTGTGCCACAGAGTGTGTGTGGAGGTCAGAGAACAACTTTCTGGAGTCAGTTTTCCCTCTTCCTTGTGAGTCCTGAGGACTGAACTTGGGCTGTTCAAGGGTGACCTTGACCTTGACCACCTGATCGACCTCCCCCTCCCCCAGGTGCGGGGATCATAGGCCTGTGCCTCCATACACTGTTTACACAGTGCTGAGGATCGAGTCTGGGCTTCCTGTGTGCTGGGCAAACACTCGCAGCTGAGCTAGAGCATTACACCTTAGTTTTCCTTTGGTGAAAGCAAGTTATTTGATGGTTTTATAGATCAGAAAGTGCAGAGAAGAGACTCAGTCAAGGTCACATTGGAGGGGTAAGGACGGCCAAGTTTGTCAGCACACAGTGTTCCACGCCACAGCTAGCTTCTTGCCATCAGTCAATGTGCATGTGTCTTGTCGCTGACCAAGATTTTCCCTCTGCAATACCCAAAAGTTAAATTTAGCTGCTGATAGCCCAAGAGAAGGGCTTAAAAATGAGGTGGGAGCCGGGTGGTGGTGGCGCACGCCTTTAATCCCAGCACTCGGGAGGCAGAGCCAGGAGGATCTCTGTGAGTTCGAGGCCAGCCTGGGCTACCGAGTGAGTTCCAGGAAAGGCGCAAAGCTGCACAGAGAAACCCTGTCTCGAAAAATCCAAAAAAAAAAATAAATAAATAAAAATGAGGTGGGGCCACAGCTAGTTCATTCAAAAGAACAGCTGTTGGGGGAGGGGAGCGTCTCATGCCTATAATCCCAGCACTTGGGAGGTGAGGCAAGAAGGTCAGAGGTTCAAGGCCAGCCTCAGCTACTCGAGTCTTTTTATTTAGAGACAGGGTTTCTCTGTGTAGTTTTGGTGCCTGTCCTGGATCTCCCTCTGTAGACCAGGCTGGCCTTGAACTCACAGAGATCCACCTGGCTCTGCCTCCAGTGCTGGGATTAAAGGCGTGTGTCACCACCGCCTGGCTGAGACCCTGTTTTAGGGGGAAAAAGAAGCTAAAAGAAAAAAAAGGGAAAGAAAAGAAAAAGAGAAAGGCACACCCGCTGGTCTGTGTGCGGGCCGAGCAGTACGCCAGGGTGTGTAGTGTTCCTTCCTTCCTGTCTTATACAGGCAGAGGAAAATCAGCCAGGGTGCGGTGGTGCTGCCTGTAGTCTGGCCTCCTAGGATGGCTGAGGCCGGAGGATGGCCCAAACCCAAGGGTTTGTAGCCAACCTGGGCAGCAGAAGAAAAACCAAAATAGAACTTGACCCCGATGGTTTCTCAGACCTGCATGGTTCTGATGACCTTGTTGGTCTGGAGAAGTACAGCCCCGGCGATCAGCCGGGGTGCGATGCCTCTGGTTACTTCTCCACCTTAGGTCAGAGTTACGGGGCTCGGGAAGAGGACCACAGCTGTAACGTGCCAGTCCTACTAGCCATACCGAGAGTCCATGCTGTCAGTGTGTCCCTCGTCCCCGTGCTGAGATCAAACCCCTCTGCTGCACCATGACTTGCTCTCTCCTGTCAAAGAAAGAATTCAGACAAATCCACGTTAAGCTTGCTGCCGATATCCTCACGGTCTTCTGGCTGTGTGAACTGCTGTCCCCAGGTCTCGGGGGCCGGTTGCAGATGCCTTTCACACTGTTATCAGGGATGTTAGAAGAGCCACAGAACACTGCCGGAGTGTTGGGAGTTTGGAGTTAAAAACCTAGCTGACTGTCCGGAAGCTGCAGAGCCGGCAGGGAGGCTGTTTGGGGTGTCTTTGTTCCTTTATTTATTTATTTTTTATTTTTTGGTTTTTCGAGACAGGGTTTCTCTGTGTAGCTTTGCGCCTTTCCTGGAACTCGCTTTGGAGACCAGGCTGGCCTCGAACTCACAGAGATCCGCCTGCCTCTGCCTCCCGAGTGCTGGGATTAAAGGCGTGTGCCACCACCGCCCGGCTCTTTCTTCCTTTAAATTGAGTCAGTGAGAGGGGCTGGGGACTTCGGGGTACTGGTTTGAAACTTACAAAAAGAAAAACAAATCAACCCAATGTGGGCTTCTTTTCTTTTCCTTCCTTCCTTCCTTCTTTCCTTCCTTCCTTCCTGATTGATTGATTGATTGATTTATTATGTATAGTGTTCTGCCTGTCAGAAGAGGGCGCCAGATCTCATTTTAGATGGTTGTGAGCCACCACATGGTTACTGGGAATTGAACTCAGGACCTCTGGAAGAGCAGCCAGCGCTCTTAACCTCTGAGCCATCTCTCCAGCCCCTCTCCTCCTCCTCCTCGTCTTCCTCCTCCTCTTTTTCTTTTTTGAGATGAAGTTATAACCATGGAGGGGGGCTTCTAGAAAATCTAAATTGAGATTTTTGCTCACCCATTTTATTTTTCTTCAACTGTCTTAATTCAGGGCACACTGAACCTCTGACTCTGTATAACTGTGGCAAGGGTCCCTTCACAGGGCCGTTCACAGGTTCTCCTAGAAGGAGACCCTGGGCACAAAGCCCAGGACACAAGTGCCATCAGGTGTTACCACCAAGCTCCGCCCTCAGCCACCCTGGCCCAAGGTTCATTGCTGGGTTGTTACGCTGTGCTTCCCTTCTCTGGCCCACGCGTTCCTCATCTGTGAAGCCCAGGTGTGGTGGGGATGAGACAGGGAGCTCTCAGGCTTTCCCCTGTTCTGTTGATGCCTAATAGGGTCCCCGGTGGCTGTGAGATGGCTCTGAGGGTAAAAAACGCTTGCCACCAAGCCTGGTAACCCGAGTTCAGTCCCTAGGACCCACGTGCTGGAAGGCGACTCACACAGATTGTTTCCTGATCTCCACACTTGCTGAGGGGGGTCCACTCCCCGCCCATACATAAATAAATATAACTTTAAAAAAAAAAATCTTTAAAGCGAATGCTGGAACTCGCAGGGGCGGGGTTAGCAGGGCTGTAACGGGCACAGGGGCGACCGCCCTCTTCAGTTTCAGGATTTTCATCGGATCCCTACGGTGCATGTTCAATCTATAGGCTGCAGCGTAGAGGGTTGTGAAACCTCGGCCGCCACCTCTCTGGGGGCGCAGGGGAGGAAGAGGACAGACATCCTTGAGCTCTCCCGGTGGAGCTCAAGGTCAGGGGCAGGAGCAGGGACGGCCTGGGGAAAGGGAAGGCGGGGCCTGGGGAAAGGGGAGGCGGGGCCTGGGCGGGACAGGTCTCTGGGGGCGTGGCCTGGGCGTGGCCGGGAGCTGGATGGAGGTGAGGCCCTCGGGGGCGTGGCCTGGGCGTGGCTGGGTGGAGGCGAGGCCCTCGGGGGCGTGGCGTGGACGGGTCAGGGGCGTGGTCGGAGCGCCAGGGCATGGGCGGAGCCAAGCGGGAGGCGTGTGACCCTGGCAGGGCGTGGCCAGGCGGGGCTTTGCTCAGGCTTCCAAGAGTAGGGAGCAGTTCGGGATGGCCCGCGAGGCGCACTGTCCCGCTCGTTCCAGCAGTCGCGGGCTACGACCAGAGGCCCTCCGGGAGGACGCTTCGGCCTCCGGTGGCGACCTGGCGACCCTGCTGTGCCCTAGGAGCAGGGCTTGCTCCCAGGGATTAGGGGTTGCCAACTGCGCATCCCCGTGGGAGCCGGCTAGGATTGGCGGGTGGGCCGGGCACCATGAGCCCTGCCAAATGCAAGGTCTGTTTCCCTGAGCGCACAGGAAAGTAAGTAAGCCCGCGATTTTAATAACTGCTTTTGCAAACTCGTGCGCCCCTCCCAGGCCAGGTCCGCTGTCTGTACCGGAGCAACCTGGCTTCCCCCTCCTTCCTCCCAAAGAGATGCGAGTTTAGCTGGGACCGCTAGAGGATGGAGCCCGCCTCGCAAACTAGTGTGCTAGGTGAGCACTCAGTGATGTTGTTTGGAGAACGCTGCCCAGCACAAAAGTGCCTCGAGATTGATCCCTGGGTCGGCCCCCCCCCCCCCCCCGCCCCCGCGCGCCTTCGTCCCTTTGGCCTTGAGGAAGTGACATTTGTGGGAGGTAACACTGTTTGTATTTAAGGTCATTTTTCTGAGTATTCTGATTAGGCAGAGCTTCTAGCCCCACCTCCTCCACTGTGAATTTCCTTTCTCCCTTCATTTTTATTGTACGTTAAAACAGACACCAAAGGGATGCTGTGTTCGTTGCTGAGAATTCAGCCCTTTAGCCCGGAGTGTAGCACACATTTGTAATCCTGGCACTGCTGAGGCAGGAGGATGGAGTTTGAGGCCAGTTGGGGCTATATAAGGAAAACCAACACACATAAAACCCAAACAAATGTACAAACTTAGTAAATTATGGATAAACAAAAAGAAGAGTAAAGATATAATTCCACCGAGATCAACAGTAGGTAGTATACAAGTCTGTGCACATGGTTAATTTATAAAATGGAACCATACAGAATTTATTGTATTGTAACTCACTTTTAGTCTTTTCTTCAAGTGGGCTTAGCAATTTATGAGCTTATCTGTGTTTATCTGGCCTGAGAGCCATGGTTCTTATGTGTTCAAGCCTTTGAAAACAATAAGAGAACACCATTTACGTGAAAACTATGCAACATTAAAAGGCCAGCGTGCACAAATAAGGTTTTGTTGGCACACAGCTACACTCACTGGTTTCTGGAAAGCCTGTGGCACCACTTGTGGGCTTTGCTAGACGACCCGAGTGGCGGGACAGAGGCTGGATTAGAACACTTAAGTATCAACTAGCAGGGACTTGACTTGCCAACCTTTGCTTGTATGTACCACGCTTTTACTGGGTCCAGCGTGTTCCCGTAAATGGATGCACTTTAAAACGTGCCAGCCGTCACCATGTGCACGGAGAGTCAAGCTGTGTCTCCTCTTAGATGCAGCCCTGCCAGCCGCAGCCTGCAGCTGAGTCACTGTCTTCTTTGCTACTTTCTTGGGGTACATTAACCTGCTCCATCGGGATCCGCTGTGCACACCCCATGTGTAAAGCTTGCCTCTGCAAACAGGAAGGGGCATGGTTGTGTTTGGGAAGAACTCCCGGTCAGTCCAGTGGGTAGGCAAATGTCTGGTCAGGTCAGTCGCCTCCCCTTCTTTGTGGCTCTGCCTTCTGTCAATCATGTCTGAAAATACTGAGTTAAAAATTCTAGACATAGTTCATGTTTTAGGTTGTTGACTGCCCAGAGGAATGTGGTGGAATCTTGTGAAATCCCATCCGGGACACAAAGCATCCTTTTGTACAGTGTATCTGTTCAGTATATGCTACCCACACATTAGTTATTTTAGTGCTGCTCCTGGTTACCACATCAGCCATTATGTTACCATGCTTCTTCTGCTCAAGTAACCCTTACGACAATAGCCCCAAAGCAGGAGGGTAGAGATGCTGGAGATTTTATTACAGTACCTTGTTGCAATTAGTCTGTTTATTTAGAATTATTTATTCTGTTATTATTATCACTGTTATTTATTGTGAGTCTCCTTTGTTTTGTTTTGTTTTTCGAGACTGGGTTTCTCTGTGTAGCTTTGGAGCCTGTCCTGGAACTCGCTCTGTAGACCAGGCTGGCCTCAAACTCACAGAGATCCGCCTGCCTCTGCCTCCCAAGCTCAGATTAAAGGCCTGCACCACCATTTGGCAGGAGGGAAGTGCCTCCTTTGCCTTTTTATCTCTTTGCTTCCCTGTGGTGCTGGGATAGAACCCAGGGCCTCCGGCATGCTAGGCCAGGGCCCTGTCTCTGCTCCACAGTCCTGTTGTCCCCATTTTACACACAGGGAAACTGAGGCCTTGAGTGTGGTTTGAGCAAAGCAGGGACTCAACCCCAGGCTATTGCCCATAGGGTCCATTCCACGAGCCCTGAAGTTCTACCATGTTAAGAACTCAACTAAGAAAGCCTTTAGGAACCCCTGTGAGGTCCTGTAGCTGGCCATGTCTAAGCAAAGAGCCAAGAGAAGGACCCAGGACTGGGGTCCGTCACACCTTCCCAGGGCACAAGTGGTTCATGGAGCACTGGAGGTCACATCCCTCCACCTTCCTTGTCCTAATCTGTCTTCTCTGGAAAAAGCACCCACGTCGTTGAGTACACCTCACTCAGGCCACATAGTCTCCAGGGAATACATTCTTCCCTGGCCTGTAAAGGTGTCCACGTGAGAAGTGTAGTGGCTCGCTCCTGAAGCACATTTAGCGGTTTACTCTATTCCCCAAACAAGCTTGCTTCACATCAGCCCCAAAAGGTGAACTTGTAGGAACTTGGAACCTGTTGATGACAGTGTGGTAGCCCTGGGCGATGCACTGGTAAAAGATGGAGTTAGCAACCCCGTCCTGTGTGACCCCAAGCAGACTATTGAGCTTGAGTCGTACTTCTCTGTCACCAGAGTCCGTTCTAACAGCCTTGAGAGTTATCGAGGCCGCCTTGAGGGCTGGCCTGGTCCAGCATAGACATTCGTGTGGAGAACAGTAGGGGTTGGTTCAGTAGCATCAGGGACCTCACACTGTAGGTCTGGGCATCTGAAGCCAGGGCTCAGGCACGTATCCCAAATGCTGCCCAGGTTCCTTGGCCTGTGGAGGGATTGGAGTTCAGAGAATGAGATGTGGGTTAGAGTGGAGAAGGGTGGAATGGAATGGCATAGAACTGGGAGGGGGGGGGTAGAGAACTCTGCTTCAGTGTGGGGTCCTGCTGTTGGGTGTTTTTAACTCTTTGCTCTTTGGGGGGCCTGTCACCCAGCTCCCAAATTAATCACACACGGAGGCTTATTATTACTTATAAATGCCCGGCCTTAGCTTGGCTTATATGTAGCCAGCTTTTCCTAAATTATCCCATCTACCCTTTGTCTCTGGGCTTTTATTGTTCTCTATTTTTGTATATATTTTCTTTCCTTCTTATTCCCTGTCTGGCTTTGTGGCTGGTCCCCAGAGTCCTCATCTCCTTTTCTTGTTTCTTGATTTCTTTTTCTATTTATTTTCTCTGCCTGCTAGCCCCACCTATCCTTTCTCCTGCCTCACTATTGGCCGTTCAGCTCTTTCTCAGACCATCAGGTGTTTTAGACAGGCAAAGGAACACAGCTTCACAGAGTTGAACAAATGCAACATAAAAGAATGCAACACATCTTTGCATCATTAAGCAAATGTTCTACTGCATAAACGAATATAACACATCTTTAACTAAGATTCTACCACACGGCCCTCCCCCCTCTGGGTTGAGGTATGTGTTGTCATGGGGATTCTGTGCAGAACTGCCATTGCTTACATGAGAGCTCTAGCTATGGTCTGTCCACCGCTGCTTTTAGAATTTCACAGGAATTAGACAACTAGTTTCCCTGGGCCACCTACCTTCACCTCCTAGAGATAGGGTTCCTCTTAGGCCTCAGCACCCACTCCTTCCCTCTCCCTCCCTTCTTTTGATATTTTTGAGACATGATTTCACATAGCCCAGGCTGGCCTTGAACTCCCAAGGATACCTTAAACTCCTGCTCCCCCTGTATCTACTTTCTGAGAGTTGGGATTACAGGTGTGTGGTCAAGCATCAATACTAAAGCCTCCATGTCAGTCTAGCTCAGGGTTGGTGTGCTGTTTTCCTAAAAGACCAAAGAGTAACCACTTTTAGCTTTGTGACCATATAGCTTCTTACCATTTCTAGTGGCAGTAGCTACGCAGTTAAATGGGCCTGGCTGTGATTCAGTGAAGGACTCTGAAACAGGGTGTTTGTATAATTTGTTATATGTCACGACATAGAATTCTGTGGACATTTCCCACCAGCCACTTAAACCTGTTTAAGCCATTCATGGCAGATTGAGTTTGACTCAGGAACCATCTTTGCTCACCCTTGACCTGGTATCATTCCAGAAGGCATTGGGGAGGGTGTATGTCCTGAGAGATTCCCAAGGGTCGGGCTGGCAAGATGGCTCAGTAGTAAAGGCGCCGGCCACCAACCCTGACCTGAGTTTAATTCCTGGAATCTACGAAGTGAAAGGAGAGAACTGACTCCCAAATGCTGCCCTCTGACCTCTGCATACACACACTACTTCATGCAGCCCCCTCCAAATAAATTAATAAATGCATTTAATTAAAACTTTATTTTATTTCATAATTAATTTAATTTTACATATCAGCCACAGATTCCTATGTCCTCCCTCCTCCCGCCCTCCCCCCCAAACCACCCCCCCATTCCCACCTTC